AAACCATGGTGCTGCCTAAGACCAAAGACACTCTTCCTACAAAACCCCATAGAATTGTCGCATTGGAGAAACTGAACCTTGATATAGAGTCTATATTGACATTTTCCCAAGTATCTAAACAATGTTCTTACAGATATACTTCCTCATGTAGGAACTAATCAAGGTTCACACGTGGCATTTGGTTATGTCTGTTTATCCTTTAAGAATGAATTCTGGCCAGATGAGGTGGCTTATGCCTGTAATCCCAGCACTTGAGGAGGCCGAGGTGGGCGGATCGCTTGAGGTCAGGAGTTCAAGACCAGCCTGGCCAACATAGCGAAACCCCGTCTCTACCAAAAATACAAAAAATTAGCCAAGCATGGTGGTGCGTGCCCACAGTCCCAGCTGCTTGGGAGGCTGAGGCAGGAGAATCACTTGAACCCGAAAGACGGAGGTTGCAGTGAACCAAGATCGGACCACCATACTCCAGACTCCTTACTTGTTTTTTGTGGTCTTCTGTTTTTTTGTTTTCACGCTGTCACCCAGGCTGGAGTGCAGTGGCACGATCTTGGCTCACTGCAAGCTCCGCCTCCTGGGTTCACGCCATTCTACTGCCTCAGCCTCCCGAGTAGCTGGGACTACAGGTGTCCACCACCACACCCGGCTAATTTTTTGTATTTTCAGTAGAGACGGAATTTCACCGTGTTAGCCAGGATGGTCTCGATCTCCTGACCTCGTGATCTGCCCGCCTTGGCCTCCCAAAGTGCTGGGATTACAGGCGTGAGCCACCGCACCCGGCCTTGTTTTTTGTGGTCTTTTATTACATTGCCTTTTTTTTTTTTCTTCAAGACAGGGTCTCAATCTGTAGCCCAGGCTGGAGTACAGTGGCATGATCACAGCTCACTGCAACCTCAACCTCCTGGACTCAAGTAATCGTCCTGCCTCAGCCTCCTTAGTAGCTGGGACTCCTAGGTGCATGCCACTACGCCCAACTAATTTTTTATTTTCAGTAGAGACAGGGTCTCACTATGTTGCCCAGGCTAGTCTTGAACTCCTGGGCTCAAGCAATCTGCCTGCCTTGACCTCCCAAAGAGCTGGGATTATAGGCATGAGCCAACATGCCTGGCCGACCGTGACATTTTTTAAGCCTTTGAGCCAGGAGCCTTGCACAGAGCTCCTCAATGTGGATCCGTCTGGTGGTCCTCAGAAAGTTTCAAACTGAGAGTTCAGGCAGGGACACCACAGAGCTGACTGTGTGTTCTTGCTATTCGCCTGTAATGCTGGATCCTCTGGGGACCTCTATACCTTGTAGAGTCCCTTTTTCACCTGTAATTAATAAGTAATCTGTGGCGTGGCACTTTGAGATGTCTTGTTCCCCAGTAATCTCACTCAATTGCTTGAGGTCAGGAGTTCAAGACCAGCCTGGCTAACATGACAAAATCCCATCTCTACTAAAAATATAAAAAATTGCCAGGCACGGTGGCTCATGCCTGTAATCCTAGCGCTTTGGGAGGCTGAGGCAGGCAGATTGCCTGCACTCAGGCGGTTTGATAGCAGCCTGGGCAACACGGTGAAACCCCGTCTCTACTAAAATACAAATAAGTTGGCCATGGCAGCATGCGCCTATAGTCCCAGCTACTCGGGAGACTGAGGCAGGAGAGTTGCTTGAACCCGGGGGCAGAGGTTGCAGTGAGCCGAGATCACACCACTGCACTCCAGCCTGAGTGACAAAACGAGACTCCGTCTCCAAAAAAAAAATACAAAAAATTAGCCAGGCATGGTGATGTGAGCCTGTAGTCCTAAGAGCTTTAGCATACATGGATGATATTTGATTCTTCTGATGGCTGCAATGGCTGCAATGTGGGGGATTTCCTTTTTTTTTTTTTTTTTGAGACAGGGTCTCCCTCTGTCACCCAGTCTGGAGTGCAGTGCCACAATCTTGCCTCACTGCAACCTCCACCTCCTGGGTTCAAGTGATTCTCCTGCCTCACCCTTCCACGTAACTGGGACTACAGGCATGCACCACCACACCCAGCTAATTTTTAGTAGAGACAGGGTTTTGCCTTGTTGCCCAGGTTGGTCTCGAACTCCTGGGCTCAACTGATCCACCCGCCTCAGCCTCCCAAAGGACTGGAATTAGTGTTGGGATTACAGGTGTGAGCCACCATGCTGGCTTGGGGTCACTCTTGACACTCTCTGTTACACCTCCATCTGGTCAGCCCAAAAATTCCGCTGGCTCCACCTTTAGTATCTGTGGCCTCAACCCAGCCACAGCTCATAAGCGTGCCACTGCCCAGCCACCTCTTAGCTGGATGACAACAATGGCCTCAAAACTAGCCTCACTGCTACCCCCATCCCCCACAATATGTCATCCATGGGCAGCTAGAGTGGGCCCTGTTCAAAGAGGAGTCCCACTGTATCTACTCAAAACCCTCCAGGGGTTCCCATCTCACTCTGAATAAAAGCTGAAAGGGGCCAGGTGCAGTGGCTATGCCTGTAATCCCAGCACTTTGGGAGGCCGAGGCAGGAGGATTACCTGAGGTCAGGAGCTCGAGACCAACCTGACAAACATGGAAGAAACCCCGTCTCTACTAAAAATACAAAATTAGCTGGGCATGGTGGTGCATGCCTGTAATCCCAGCTACTTGGGAGGCTAAGGCAGGAGAATTGCTTGAATATGGGAGGCAGAGATTGCAGTGAGCCGAGACTGTGCCATCGCACTCCAGACTGCGGTGAAACTCCGTCTCAAAAAAAAAAGGCCGGGCGCAGTGGCTCATGCCTGTAATCCCAGCACTTTGGAAGGCCAAGGCAGGTGGATCACAAGGTCAGGAGATCAAGACCATCCTGGCTAACACAGTGAAACCCCATCTCTACTAAAAATACAAAAACTTAGCCGGGCGTGGTGACACACGCCTGTAGTCCCAGTTACTCAGGAGGCTGAG